TGGATATGGCGCTGTAGCTCACGTGGTAGAATGGCCTTGAGCTGAGGGACAGTGCCCCAGGCCCGGAGTTCAAGCCCCATTTCACACACACACACACACACACACACACACACACACACACACACACACACGGAGACTCACAAACTCTCTTGCCCAGGCTGGCTTTGAACCATGATCCTCAGAGCTCAGCCTCCAGAGCTGATAGCTAGGACTGCAGGTGTGAGCTTTGCCTCCCAGTCTTGTGATGAAAGGCTTCCTCCCACTGCCACCCCCAGAAGAGTACAGTACAGCCCCTCCTTCAACCCACGCGCTGGCTCTCAGCACAGTCCACCTGTGTGTGGGCTCCATGTACTGACCGAGTGTGCACTGCATCTGCTTGGCCGGGGAATGGTGCGGCAGGTGGGTAGACAGGTCAGAGGACGCAGGTAAGGAAACGAAGCGGCTTATCTGGTCCTCACATCGTGTCAGAGTGCATGCCTCCTAGGGGAATTAAATGAGGTAATACGTGCCAAAGCCCAGAGGAGGATCTCAGTTTAGAAGCAGATCTATACCACAGGACCAGTGTCGCCTCAGATGAGACATTTCACCTCACTGAGCTTAAATCTCTACCAGGGGCACGCTGAAAATGGTTTTAAGCCAGACGTTGTTAGCTCATGCCTGTCATCCTAGCGACTTGGGAAGCTGAGATCTGGAGGATCTCAATTCCAAGCCAGCTGCGGGCAATGCCAGCAAAGTGTTTCTCAACCAACAGTTGCACACAGAGGCGCACACCTGTCCCTCCAGCTATGTGGGAGACAGATCACCAGGATCATGGTTCTAGGCTAGCCTGGCAGAAATGCTGGCGAGTCTCTCTCTGAACTGAAGAAGCTGGTGTGTGGTGGCGAGCACCTGTCATCTTAGCCACACAGGAAGTATAAAATAGGCTCACAGTCCAGGCTTGTACTGGGGTAAAAGAAAAAAAAAAAAAAGCATGTTTCTATGTCAAAATATGCAAAAAAGGACCGAAGGAGGGAGGCCCTGAGTATAAAACCTACACTTGGTGCTGGAGGAGGTGGGGGGTTAGCCAGGTTTGGTGGCACAAACTTTGTAATTCCACCCCCTTGGAGGTTGGGGGGGGGGGGGGGAGATTTCAAATTCAGAGTCAGCCTGAGCTCGGGCCACTGAAAAAGGAAGTTTTAAATATAAAGAAGGGTTTGGGACATTAGTATCCACCCTTCGGAGTTACTCTAAGAATCAAAGATAATTAACACCAAGTCCTTAGTCAGGGTCCTGCTGTAGGGAAAGTATTCAAAATAACCGCAGTTATTGCTACTTCTTTTTTTTTTGGGGGGGGTGCCAATCCTGGGCCTTGAACCCAGGGCCTGGCGCTGTCCCCAAGCTGTTTTCACTCAGGGCTGGTGGGTGCTCTACCCCTTGAGCCACAGCCCCATTTGGGCCTTTTTGCTGGCTCCCTGGGGGATGATAAGGGCTCATGGGCTGGGCTGCTCCAGTCTGGCTTTGAACCACGGTTCTCAGGGCTCAGCCCTGCGTAGCTATGACGACCGGCCTGAGCCACCGCGGTCCCCGCTTGGAGAGACCCTCGGCCGGCCCCCGCCATGCCGCTCGGGGTCTGGCGTTTCTGCCCCTCTGATCGGTCTTGCATTGGTCTACAGAGCACGAGCGGTAGAGTACCCTGGGGACGGTACTGGACGCCGGGTGGAGGAGAGGAGGTCCGGCTCCCGGTTTGGGGGCGGGGGGGCGGGACCCCCGTGCCAGGGCTGCCCGGCCCTCGCTCAGCCGCGCCCCGCGCTCTCCGTGCGCCCCCCCGCCGCCCCTCCCGGGCGCCCCGCCGCGGCCAGGCCCTATTTCTGGGGACCGAGCGATCCCCGGGCCGTGCCAAGCTTCCCCGGGGATCGGGTTTCTGCTGACGCCGTGCCAGGCACGTCTGCTTCCAGGAACCCGCAGCCGCTTTTAGCCGCGGGCCGCACATGAAAGGCTCGAGTCGGAAACGTGACGTGGTGTCAACAGCGGGTCAGCGCCGGGTGAGGCCATCCCGCCGGCCCGGCCCGCCCCGCGCGCGTGCGCGTGCGCCCGGCCTCCCTGCCCACCCTGCGCGTGAGAGTGCGCCCGGCCTCCCTGCCCACCCTGCGCGTGAGAGTGCGCCCGGCCTCCCTGCCCACCCCGCGCGCGCCCGGCCTCCCTGTTCACCCTGCGCGTGAGAGTGCGCCTGGCCTCCCTGCTCACCCCGCGCGCGCCCGGCCTCCCTGCCCACCCCGCGCGCGCGCGCCCGGCCTCCCTGCCCACCCTGCGCGCGCCTGGCCACCCCGCGTGTACTCGTGCCCGGCCTCCCTGCCCACCCCGCGCGCGTGCGCGCGCTCGGCCTCCCTGCCCTTCCAGGCTCCCCACACCAGCTCACACTCACACACACACACACACACCTTCCTAAACAGAGGTCTGCTTTGTCACCCTCCCCCCCAGGGTGACTGGCTGGGGGCAGCGCCCCCAACACCTCCCAGGCACCCTTGGAACTGGGCTGGGAGCAAGGTCACTGGCACTCCGGAGCCGGGAGGGGGGGTGGGGAGGGGGGCGCGGGCCGCAGCGAGCATGGGGGCGGGGGTCGGGGTGCTAGGTGGACTGGGCCGCTCTGAAATTTTCCTCTTTCTTTTTTGGTTTTCTTCCCAGGTCAAGGTGTTCCAACCTCGGCCTCCGTCTCCTGCGACTCCTTAAATCCCCGGGGCTTAAGAGGGCAGGCCGTGCCAAAAGGATTTGTTTCAACTCCACCCTGGGTTGCCTGAAACCAAGATAAACTTGGCTTGGTTTGGGCTTTCACCAAAAAAAAAAAAAAAAAAAAATTAAATCTAGCTAGAAAGTTCTGGCAACTTGTGGAAGAATTCAGGGGCCTTGGCTACTCAGGCCATCTGCAAAGGGCCTACTCCTGAGCAACTGGAAGCAAGGTGGGACCGACAGAATTTACCATCTGCCTGTTGCAAGGCCGGGGCCACGGGCTCAGAAGCCATGTTTTGGCCTAGTCAGAAACAGGTGTTTGAGCCTGATGGCGGACCACCCAAGCGGGCTCCCCCTCTCCCTCCCATCCCCAGGCCCATTCCCTGTGCCACGTGCCACCTCCACGCGAGCAGAGACATCGGAATGCGAACATACCTGGACGAGAATTCCTCCACAGTGACATCCCTGCAGGGGCTGCAGCCAGCCAGAACAGTTCTGGAAGATTCCATGCTCTGGGGGCTAAAGAATGTCCTGTCAAGGGCAGGCCACCAGGAAATGTCTAGAACAAGGAACAGGAATGCTTACATCTAGGGATCATTTCCCACTTCTCCCACGGAATTTCCTTTTTAAATTTTATTTTATTTTAAATAAAAACACTTGACTAAGGAGCACCAATCCTCATTCACACACAAACATACCCAAAGGAGAGGAAGTCTGGAAGGATGTAGAAAGTAATTATGGAACGTTGCTTGCCTCCAGCAGCAATAAGACAGGATATGGCAAATCCATTAGAATTTGCTAGATTCAAAGGAGTTAGCCTGCCCTGGCAAAAGAGGTGCTATCCTCTACATCAATTATTATTGCTTAATAATCCATTAAATCTTTCCTCAGTAGGTTAACCCGCAGGCACGCCAGCCCACAACTTCATACTTTAGCTCTCTGTTCAGTTCTGAAGACTTTGAATACAGCAGTGTGTGTGTGTGTGTGTGTGCGCGTGTGTGTTGGGGTGTACTTTTTGCTTAAAAGTATGTTTACTGCAAATTGCTGGCCAAAAAAGAAAAGTATTGAGAGAATGAACCAGTATTCATTTACTGCATTAAGTTATTCTGGCTGAATGCAAGGAACAGGAAAAACTAAATGAATTCACCCTTCTAACTAAAAGGATAGATACCATATTAACACAACTATTGGGGGAAAAAATTCAGGAGGCCATCTTTTTCTCTTCCACAGGAAAAGGATTATTTTATTAAGTATTTTAAAACAACTACTTAACATTTACTCATAGATAAAAATATTTACAATGTCACACCTTCAGGAAGGTTCTAAAATATAAACACTGTACCTCTCCCTAGAGAAAAAAAAATTCTTCTCTTCAAAAACAGGAATACATTCATTTTTTTCCTCTTTGTAGCTCAAGTAATTGTACAAATAAACCTCTGAAACACTTTCCTTTTATATATATATTTATATAATATATATTTATAACAGCTTTACAAATAAAGGCAACGACTTTTATTACCAAAAATAAAGACAGGAAAATGAAATAGTTAAAAACACGATGAGCAATTAAGCATAGTGCATTTTTGGAAAGCTGGTGCAGAGCTGGCTGGACAAGTCCAAAAAACAAGGACTAGAGCAAAAATAAAACTTCTTTAAAGGACAGAGAATCCTATTTAGCAATTAAGGACACTCCAATACGCTGTTAGGCGCAAGGCTGTAGCCTGCAGAAAGGAGCTAGCACGGCCAAGGCTTCGTTAGGCTAAGCTTGCTCAAAAGCTTTAGAATTGAAAACTGAGTCTAGCTATGCAAGAAAGGTAGCAACTGGTTATTTAACTGTGCACTTTTGGGTGCTAGGGGGCATTTGCACATCTCAGACTTTTTTTTTGGTTTCCTGGACAGCATGTCCTAACTAACTGTGCGATTTTAGAAGCAGGTGCCCAGAGCCTGGGGAACTCCACGCTCATTCCATGTCAGCGCAGCTCCTACAAAGGGGCTATTTTCAGTTCCTTAGTAAGGTAATCACTATGAAATCCTGAGAAGGAAATGGCATTCTCTTTCTTGCTTCACCCAGGCCTGGGGATGGGAGCAGACCCGGGGCCATCTCCCTAAGTCACCACCTCTACTGTGACAGACCAGTGTCTGCTACCTCGTCTCGGCAAAAAGTGCAGTCTGACAGTTCTGCCCTCAGTCTAGTGAGTCATATAAAACAATAAAGGGACCAGGGTGGGGTTCTAACAGCTGGCTGGGAGCTGCACTCTGGAAAGCCCTTTTTTTTTTTTCAAAGTACCTTTTTCCCCCCCTCAAAGCCACAGACCCAACTTCCCAACTGAAGGGTGACTCACAGACTGAGTTTGAAAGCTTTTGAAAATCCAGCTGACTTGGATCAAAGGGTGGAGTGAGGGTGGTCTATTCTCTGGGAAGAAGAAAAAAAAAGCTTTCCCCCTGCATCTCCTGCTGACACGAGGAAGTTTTCCCCTGGACCATGTGCAGCTTTCACGTTCTGTACCCGCACGGGCACACTTGCACGCACACACGCACGAGTGCACGTGCACACACACACACACACACACACACACACACGCCCTTTCAGTCTCCTCTGTACCTCAAAGCATCTGAGTATGCACTAAGGAACAATCTCACTGTACACACATCATGTGCACATGTGTACGTGTGTGTGTGTGTGTGTGTGTGTGTGCATGTGTGTTTGAAGGAAGGAAGGATGGAAAGCGAAATAGCAGGATCCCTTACGAGTTTAGTCTTTGGTTTCTAAGTTTAAAGGGGGGATCTGTTTCAGAGCCTGGAGCAAAGCAGAGGAGTCGAGGGAGGGGTGAGCTGTCAAGGGGGAGGGGAGTCTCTGAGGCATGAGCAGGGGGGCAGAGATCTTGTCAGGGTTCATGAAGCTGGTGAGGGCAGCGGCAGAGGTGTTGAGGCCCGGGTATAAGATGGGCACTGAGGTGGGGTACCAGCATTTCTCCAGCATGGGCAGATAGGCGGTGGCTGATGGGGGAATCAGATAGAAGGGCAGGCAGAAGGGAGGCTGGTGTGGGTGTGGACCCAGGAAAGGGGAGCTGATGAGGTCGCTGCTAGGGAAATGGCCTTCATCCTCGGGGAGCTGCATGCGGCTCTTCTTCGAGGGGGGCTCTTCGCATTCCTGCTTAATGGTGCTGACCCGTTCTCCCAGGGTGAACCTGCGCCCCAGATCGCCTTTGAAGTAGGGCTGTTCCCCACGCAGGTCACCTTTCTCCGATTCTCCTCCGTAGCCACTGTCTGTGTCCGTGTCGCTGCCGCTCTGCTCGCCGCTCGAGGCAGCGAAAGTCCGCTGGATGACGGGCACACAGTTTTTCCCGGGGCCTTCCGAGCCTCTGACCAGGGAGCCGGACTTCTCCTTCAAGTCCATGGCTTTGGAGACCGAGTCTGATGGTTTCCTACCCGTGCCCCCCTGCAGCAGCTCGGAGACCACGCGGTGAAGGTGTGCCACCAGCTGCGAGGACTTCAGATCCCGAGTGTTCTCATGCTTGGCCAGGTACTGAAGCACCTCCCGGGCACAGGTCTGGAAACCCGAGCAGAACATCTCTTGGCCTGCTTCCACATTTCTTCCTGACAGCTCACCTGCAGATGCACGGGCCAAGAGAAGATGTTTTTCAGAAGGGCCCGGGGTGGGCCTGCGACTTGACTTATTATTTTCCAGTCATGGGGCTTGAACTCAGGGCCTGGGCGCTGTTCCTGAGCTCTTTCACCCCAGGCTACTACTCTACCACTTTGAGCCACAGCACCCCTTCTGGTTTTCTGGTGGTATGTTAGGAATTAAGGGTCTCATGGACTTTCCTGTTCTGGCTGGTTTGAACTGTGATCCTCAGATCTCAGCCTCCTGAGGAGCTAGGATTACAGGCGTGAGCCACCAGTCCCTGGCCTTATTATTATTATTACTTTAAAGCAGTATTTGGCCACTTACATTTCTTACTCCACAAATGACACTGAAAATCATCTTTATCCCGCCACTCCAGAGACTTTTTGTCCCTTCTCTGTCTTGGTGCTGGAGATTGAAACCACAGGGTCTCACTTGTGTTGAGCAAATGCACTGCCACTTAAGCCCCAATGACAACTTTTAGTGGCTGCATGATATCCCATCCTACTCAAGGTGGGTCTGCTCTGCTCTTGTCGAGTTTTTAATTTGCTTCTGTTTTTTTTTTTTAAAAGATATTCTAATATCTTTTTATAAACCCAAAAGCCAAGACAGAGAACACTAGACTCATACTAGCAAAATGAGTAAGGCCATTTTTTTTTTTTAAAAAGGAACTGAAGGAACAGTATCACCTAACACAAGTTTATGTTCAGGGACTTACAAAAGCTACCACAGTAAACTTTTAATTAGGCCATGTACTTTATCCACAATCCCTAAAGGGGTGTGTGTGGGGGGGGGGGGGGGAGGGGGAGTCTGATGGCCTTCTGAGTTTTAGTGAGAAAATGGGCAGATAAACATGCTGGGTTTTTGTGGCTCTCATCCTGATGGCCTTGGAAAGGAATTCAGAGAGGAATGGATGAGGGAATTGTACAAGAATTCCCCCAGGTGGTACAGGGTTATTTAGAAGGGGTGGCCTGGAAGCCCACAAGGTGAGTTGCATTCTCTGGACGTCAGTAGAGATGAACTGGGAAACTTCAGTGGTTTCGTTAAGATTGTGCAATTCGTCCAGATACCTAGTGGCTATTCAGGAAACTACAAGGTAGGAAAAACTCCTGCAGTCATGCAGATAGGATTGCGCCTCACAGAGAATGATCAGGAAGGAAAGAAACAGGCATAGCTATGATTTAAGTCTCCACTGAGACACAGGAAAAGAAGGCCAAGTACGAAGCAGCCACAAGGCAAATGACAGGGGCCCTGGCCTATTGAGAGGGACTACTGGGGAAATCTCTCAGAACCCAGGAGCCTTCAAAGCCAAAATGCCACCGAAACATTTTATCATTTGACTAAGACGTAGTTATGCCAGGTGGCACGCAGCAGCATTCCAAATGGGAAGTCTGACCTTTTGGGAAAGATTAAAAAACAACAGCAACAACGCACCGAGTCTTCCCCTAGTGACCATGCAGAAGCAATCGGCTGCAGGCATATAACTAACCTCCAACAGATGCTGAGCACAGAGAGGCTCCCTAGGAAGGAGATGCTAATGGGATTCGGGCACTCACCAGCTTGTAAACCGCTCTGCAGGGCAATAATTTTCTGCTGCTGCTGATCAATTAGGTTTGTTAGTGCTTTCACGTGCTTCAAGGTAAGTTCCAGAACCACTGCTTTTTCCAAGTGACCCAAAGTCTACAATTAAAAACAACACACACACACACAAACCACAACTCTCATCAGTGGGGAGAAATCAGAGAAATTCTACCTCTGGGACACTTCTTAGCAATCAGAAATGTCCCTAAAGAAAGAAAAAAAAAATCTACTACATGATTAAAGAGTAAAGGACACGTGTCATCTATCTTTGGAAGCTGCTACCAGCCCAGGCCAGCGCTTTGTCGGTATCATTCTTCAGTAACCGCCCATGACCTTAACTCCCCGGGAGCCTGGAGAGTCTGGAGATAACGTTTCGGTGTCAACCCAGGGAGGGACTTCCACTACCTCTGCCAACCTTTGCCCCCTTTTTTTTTTTCTTTTTCCTTTTTTTTTTTCTTTTTCCCCTGACACTCAAAACTTCCAGCTCCTGCAGGCTTTCCTCCTTCCCCCAAATATTATTTTTCCTTTCTCAGACTATAGGCTGTTAAGCTTCTGCTTACTACCAAAAAGGGAGAGGGGAATCACTCTTCTTATTTAAGTAAGTGGAGATGGCTAAAGAAATACATTAAACATAAAAACTCTGCATTGCTAGAGCCTGCTCTCCTTTTCGTCAGGAAGACTCAATAAGCCTGAAAAATCACCCCAGAGGCCAAAGTCTCAAACGCCTGATTAGAAAGCCCAACTAGTGTTGGAGCCAACTTGGAGAGATCCAAGAGTTATTTGCAGGGGGAGGGGGGATTGCCAGAAAATTCCAGGACTGGGGAAGGGATCTTCTCTCCCTTCTCACCAGCACCCGCCAGGCCAGGGCTGCAGCTCGGATCCGGCCGTCTGGCCTGCAGTTCCCCGAGGCGCCTGCAGGCGGCGGGTGCCCCCCCGGGTGCCCCCCCCCCCCCGCGCCCGCCCGCCCGGTGGGCAGAGAGGAGCTGGGCTGGAGCCCCGCCAGCTTCTCACTTACTGTAAGTTTGAGATGTTCGGGCAGGAGGTCCTTCAGCTGGGCGATGCACTCGTTAATCCGGTCACGTCTCTTTTTCTCGATGAGCCGGTGTGGCAGTTTGTAGGTCTCCTGCGGGGCGCGCGCGGGGCCGTGGGTGATGGAGAACCGGGGGTGCGCCACCTCCCACCCCCTCTCCCCAGCCCGGGCCCCGATCCCGCAGCGTGTGCAAAGATGGGGGGGGAGCAGAGCCGCGATCAGCACCCACCCCTGCCTGGCCCCGTGTTCCGAGTTGCTCCCCGGTGGCACGGAGACCCCCCCGGGCACGGCCGCCCCCCACGCCCCCAGCCCCTCGCCGACCGCGGAGCGAGTAAACTTTTTCTTGACAACCGAGTGCGCGCGAGGGGCTGGGGCGCGGGGGTCCCCCCCTGAGGGGGGTGGGGGGTGCGCTTACCTTGCTGTCCTCGCTCCGCTTCAGGCCCCGCCGCGACTTGTACACTTGGTACATGTGGGCGAAGTCCATCCTGCAAGGAGAAGGGGCCGAGGAGGGTCGTGAGTGCGTGCGCACGGGCTGCGGGCGCCCGGCTCGGACCAGGACACCCCCCCCACTTCCGCACCCCAACCCGCGGGGATGCGTCCTACGGTTCACACCCCCGCCGGGTTGCAGGCTCGCGGCAGGGGGACCCCTCCCCTCCCCCCGGCTGCCAACTCACCCGGGCAGGTCTCCGGGCTCCAGCACCGGCGTTTTGGGCAGGCAGGCCGGGGGTGGCTGCGCGCTGGGGATCCGCTCCATGGCGCGGCGAACCGGGGCCACCGCGCGCTGCTGCCGCTGCTCGCTGCCCGGCGACCCGGAAAGGGGTGTTCGGGGTGCGGGGAGGGAGGGGGAGTCTCTCGGTTGAGGGTCCCGCGGGAGTGCGGAGCTCCCCGAAAGGCGCAGGGGGGGCTTTTATTTTTCCTTTGTGCCCGGAGCTGGCGGCTGGCTCGGCGGCGATCGCTTCAGTGCGGGGCGTGCATGGCCCGAGGGGTCCCCGCGGCCTCCGGCTCGGCGCACGGACCGGCGGCGTGTGCTGCGAGCGCCGTCTGCACCGTGCGAGCCAAGTGAATGAGGAGTGGGGCGGGCGGGCGGGGAGGGCGGGCGTGGAGCGGGAGGGGGGCGGAAGGGGGGGCGAGCCGGGCAGTAATGGAGAAGAGGCTGCGGGGCTGGGTTAAATGGGAGCGAGTGGGTGGGTGGGAGCTACGTGTTCAACCCTGTGACTCCAGGCACGTCTGGCCGCGGCCGGGGAGGGAAGGCGGACCTGCCCGCCCTCCCCGGCTGCCATCACATGAGTCTCACGTGTTGGACAACGATCCGGCGGCTGCCAAGGGAGCCCCCGCCCCCTCCCCGGTCCGTCCGCCTCCGCCCGCCCCCCCAGGTGTCTGCGGCCTCCTTTTCCCCGAAAGAGGGGGTGTCGGCAAGGTCCGGGTCCGACCCCCGCCGGGCGGGAGCGCTGCGGAAGCCGGGGGGGGGGGCAGGGTGGGCAACGTGGGCGAACCTGCCCCAGGGAAATGAAGTAAGTTCCCGTCTCCCGGGAGGGGGGACGGGGGAGGACGGATCCGCCCGCGTCTGACTCAAGCCGGGAGAGGAATATCCCCTCGCTCGCTCGCTCGCTCCCCCGCCCGGCCCGAAGGGAGCGCGCGCGCAGCCCCGGGAGCCGCCGCCCCCCCAGCCCTCCCCAGAGGCCGGGGTTTCTTTCCGCCCCCCCCCCCGCGCCCCCCCTCTCCGCCGCCCCGCGTCCAGGAATCGCCCGCCTCGGGGCGGGGCCGGGGGCGGGGCGGATGTCACCCCATGGGAAGCGGGCGCGCCTCCAGGGCGCGGGGCGGCCGGGGCCGCCGACCGGCACGCTGCGCGCACCTGACCGCGCGCGGAGCGAGCCCTGCGGGGGTGGGGGGAGCGCGGCCGCCCGGGCCGCGGGCATCCACCGCCGGCGCAGTCTCACCCCCTCCCCGTGACCCTCACCTCCCTCCCCGGCCAGCGGGCACCGCGCCCGCCCGTCCTCCCTCCCTCCCCGGTCCGGGTCGCCTCCCCGCGGGCTGCGGCGTTACACAACCGCAGCCGCCGCGCGGGGCCTGCAGCAGTGCGGGGCGTGACGCTCCACGTGGCCCGGCCTGGGGCCGCAGCACCCGGGGGCTGGAACCGGGCGGCGGAGCCGTGTCCGCAGGGGCGGGGGGGGGGGGCGATCGCGGGTGCTCGGAACTGCGCAGCGCCATTTATCTGCAACCTGGGCAGGAGCGCAGGGGAGGAAGAACCCCATAATAATAACAACAACAACAATAGCGATCTTGGTGACACCGCTGCCCCGGCTCAGGGAATGCGTTCGCTCATTCGGCCCGCATTTCTGTACCCGGCGCTGCGCACGCCGGCGCATCCCACGTGTGCGGTCTGGAACTTGGAGACCCCCTGGCCAGGTTGGGGGGGGGGGACGCAACCCTGCCCCTATCCGGGGACGGGAGCCCCCACCCACCCACCGTGGCTGGTTTTTAATTTAATATTAACCAGGATGCTCAGGTGGGGGTGAGGGGAGGCCGGGGCTCGGTGGCCTGAGCCTGGGGCAGAAAGAAAGAGGTCCTGGGGGGGCTCGGCGACCTCAGTTAGGTCCGGACGGGGAGGGAGGGTGGAGGGGGCTTCCTCTCCCGGAACAATCGGGGCTCGGTGCCTGGTCCGGTTGTGGATCAGGGGAAGGGGCCGCGGGGCGCGGAGGAGGAGGGCGCCCGGTGGAAATTCGTGACTCAAATGAGGCCTGGCTGGGGATTTCACTGACCCCTGCGCGCCCCGGCGCGGCGAGGTCTGGGAGTCGAGAGATGACTGTCATCCCTCTCCCCCCACCCCCTCCCTCCGCGCTGGGGTCAGCCATCCCCGGCTGCCGGTGACTTGGCTGTGGGAAAGGCGAGGGAGAGAATGGGGTCACCGCCAGCCAGCACGGGGTGGGGGGGATGGATCTGATCTACCCCGTGCAGGCCGATCTGGAGGGCTTGGGGGTTCACACGCTTGACCGGACTCGGAGTGCACTTCCTTCGCATGGCTTTGGAGAGCTCCGGTTTCCTTCCTGTGGACGTTTCCACCCGCGTCAGACCCATTAGCAAGTGTGAGAAATGCATCCTGCCCCGAGCCGTGCGCGCGCCCCGCGTGACCTCCCCAGGGCCTAGCCCGCCCGCCCTCCCTCGCGGTGGGGAGGGCAGGGGAAGGGGGGTTGCAGGGAATGGATGAATGCACCTCACCTCCCTCTCGCCCTGCTCCAGGGCCAGGCCTCTTCCTGACTCTGTCAGAACCCCAGGGGAGACGAGCTCCGGGAGAGGCAGGATTAGAGGTCCACGGCCCGGCCCTGTCAGCAGTGAACCCCAGCATCTCCCCAGCCTTGGCTCCTGGCTCAGGACCACAGCATTCTTCAAATTCCTTATCAGTCTTTGAGGTTTGCCTGTACATGCCCTGCAGTGGTTTAAATAGCAAAACAACAACAACAAGCCCCCACCAATCCCCCCTTCTTTTTGATAAGGTCTTATTATGTACCTTCCCCTGACCTCTGAACTCCACCTCCTCCTGTCACCGACTCCCCATTGCTGGGATTACAGGCTGGTGCTTCTTCCTACCTGCTTTTGGTTTCTTCCAAATAGAGTTTCAGAAATCATTTCTACTCATCATAGGTGAATTATTTATTCTCCTGCTTCTTTCTCTTCATCCTCCTCTTCCTTCATCCTGGGGTTTGAATTCCAGGCTTAGGCCCTTGCCCTGAGCTTTTATGTGTAAGGCTAGTGCTCTACCCCATGAGCCACAGCTCCAACTTCAAACTTTTGGGTGGTTCATTGGAAATTAAAAATCTCAAGGAAGTTCCTGCTGGCTTTGAACTGTGATCCCTAGATCTCAGCCTCACAAGTAGATAGGAGTACAGGTATGAGTGACCAGTGACTACAGCTACATTTCCTCCTCCTCCTCCTCCTCTTCCTCCTCCTCCTCCTCCTCCTCTTCTCCTCCTGCTCCTCCTCCTCCTCCCCCTCCCCCTCCCTCTTCTTCCCTCTTCCTCCCCTACCTCCCCTTCCTCCCCCTCCTTCCTCCTCTTCTTTTTTTTTTTTCCTTTTTGCCAGTCCCAGGGCTTGTATTCTGGGCTGGGCATTATCCTTGAACTCAAGGCTAGCACTCTACCGCTTCAGCTATAGCTGGAATTGGCTTTTTCTGTGATTAATTGGAGATAAGAGTTTCACAGACTTTCCTGCTCAAGCTGGTTTCAAACCACCATCTTCAGATCTCAGCCTCCCAAGTAGCCACGAATACAGGCTTGAGCCACCAGTTTTTGGCTGTTTCTTTTTTTAAAATGTCTCTTCTCTATAGTTTACTGTTATCTGAAAAAATTACTTTAAAATAATTTTCTCGCTGGGTGCTGGTGGCTTACATCTGTAGTCCCAGCTACTGGTGTGTGGGGTGGGGGTGGGGGGGCAGGCTGAGATCTGAGGATTGCAGTTAGAAGGTTAGAAGCCAGGCAGAAAAATCCCTGTGATATTACCAATCAAAAAATGGAAGTCGAAGCCAGGTGCCAGTGGCTCACGCCTGTCATCCTAGCTACTCAGGAGGCTGAGATCTGAGGATCCCAGTTAAAAGCCAGCCCGGGCAGGAAAGACCCTGAGACTCATCTCCATTAAACTACTAGAAAACTGGATGTGGTGCTGTGGCTCAAGCGGTAGAGCGCTAGCCTTGACCTGAAGAGCTGAGGGACAGCGCCCAAGCCCAGAGTTCAAGCCCCACAACTGACCAAAAAAAAAAAGGAAATCGAGCTGTGGCTCAAGTGGTAGAGTGCTAACCTTGAGCAAAAGAGCTCAGGGACAGGCCCAGGCCTTGAGTTCAAGCCCCACAACTGACAAAAGAATTCCTTCTAGTATATTTTTCCATCCTGAACAATCGTAACACAATCTTATTATTTCAGGCCACCATCTTTTCTTTAATGAATTACATAATTAATTTGTTTTTGTGCTGATACTGGGGCTTGAACTCAGGGCCTTGGACTTCTCACTTTGGTTTTTCCACTCATGGCTGGCACTCTACCACTTGAGCCACACCTCCACTTCCAGTTTTTTTTTTAGCTGAAATTCTCATGCATGTTTCTGCATGAACCGAGGCCCTCAGATCTCAGCCTCCCAAGTAGCTACGATTACAGGTGTGAGCCAGCAGCGCCTGGTACAAGCTGTTCTCGTTTATAGCTATTTTTTCCTTTTAAAACCGTTATTATAAAGGTGATGTACAGGCGGGTTACCGTTACATCAGTCAGGGAGAGGACATTTCTTTTTGGACAACATCACCACTTTCCTCTCTCCCAGTTTTTCCCCTCCCATCCCCCCTCACAAGTTGTATAGTTCACTTCGAACATACTGTCCAGTGAGTAGTACTGCTGTATTTGTGCACCCTTTGTCCCTCCATTTCAGTGTATAGATATTGTCTGTATTCATTGACTCCTGACCACCACCGTAAGGCTGGTACTAATATTGTCAGCCATAATCTATATATTTGATCTATGTATTTATTGAGAACCACTATAAGCTGGCCCTTGAACTAGGTCCTAGGGGTACATACACAACATACTCCTTTAGAAAACAGGCTCCGGTTAAATAACCTACAGTGTGGCATTACATCTGGAATAAGACCCCAGCCTGGCAGGGCTGTACGGTTGTGTATTGCTCAATTCCAGGGGGTACCCTTCCCTACTGTGGTCTCTGAGATCCTGAACTGTAGCACTGAACTACTGTGCTGGGTAAACGTACTGTTTTTTTTTCCCTCCCCTTTCTTTAGTTACTTGTAAGTGTGGTAAAATTGTGTAAGTTCCACCCGCAGCCTTTGATACTTGACTCTTGGTCACTTATGGGGGCTTTCTCATTTTATGCTCACCTGGCACTGGAAAGCTTTGGCATCTCTTCTTCTTTTGTAGTGCTACTGGGACTTGAACTCAGGGTCTCAAGGTCTTACTTGACTTTTTTTTTTTACCTGTAAGGCTTGCACTCTAGCACTTGATCGTAGCTCCACTTCTGACTTTTTTGCTGGCTAATTGGAGATAAGAGCCTCATAAACTTTCACCCAGGTTGGCTTTGAACTCTGATTCTCAGGTCTCAG